CCCAGATTGTGAGAGGGTGTCCGACTGCCGGTGTGTGATTGGTGCTAAACCAGCAGACATCCCCGAAGGCTCCCAGATTGGAGAGGGCTGAGGGACACCCCCCCCCCCCCCGCGTGAATTTCGTGCACTGGGCCACTAGTCCTATATAATAAAAGCACAATATGCAAATCGGCCGAATGGCTGAACAGCGGAACGACCATCCGAGTGACCATGTTATGACACCCACTGGCGCCTGGCCAGCCAAGGCAGGTGCAATGTGATTGGTCGGGGGCCTGGCCATCGTCCCATGATCGCCCCACAGAGGGAGGCCCGGGCCACCAGCTGGCGGGGCAATCAATCGGGGGGCTCCACGATCGCCCCAAAGGGAGGCCCAGGCCACGAACTGGCAGACTATGGCGGTAGGTGGGGCCTCCCTCTGTGAGGGAAGCCCATGTGCCGGCAGCCAGAGGGAAGCCTGGGTCCTGGGTACCAGAGTGAAGCCGGTGCCAGCAGCTGGGGAAAGGAAGGCCTACTCTTGCACGAATTTCGTGCATCGGGCCTCTAGTGTATATATAACTACAAGTGTCTAAATCAGTACACTAAGCATCTGTTTGAGATCTAGAGGTGGCCTATTAAGTAGAGTAAAAAAGAAAGTATGGCTACAGAGAAGAGCTCTGGACCAGTGGTGCTAGACGATTAAATAAAGGCACAGCAAAGTGATGAACAGGCAGCGGTGCTTCGGGCTGCTTTATCGGAAGTGAAAATGGGGAACCACTGAGACAGCAGTTAGGGCAGCGGTTCTCAACCTGTGGGTCGACCCCTTTGGGGGTCGAACGACCCTTTCACAGGGGTCGCCTAAGACCATCGGAAAACACATATATAATTACATATTGTTTTTGTGATTAATCACTGTGCTTTAATTATGTTCAGTTTGTAACAATGAAATTGGGGGTCACCACAACATGAGGAACTGTATTAAAGGATCGCGGCATTAGGAAGGTTGAGAACCACTGAGTTAGGGTGATGGTATAGACGGAGCTTTGGGACCTGCGCTGGGGCAGGAGCAGTGGGTATGTCTCCTCCATATGCTGCTTCAACTGCAGCTAGTGAGCAGTTGGTGGGATGATTTTTGTTGTAGGCTTGCAGAGCCCTGGACTAGAGCCAAATTATTGATAAGCCACATACAACATTGGTTTATCTTAATGTTCTAGGTATGTCTGACTGTGCACGTATTTGGTGTCTACAAGGAAAGCAAAGCAGTGACATCATGGACTTAGATGTTGTTTTGTCAGCATTTGAGGAAACCCTCCCCGAGTATAAGTAAGTGTTGATGGGATGTGTGTACCCGGTTTCCCCTGAACACCACTTTTGCTTATCCCACAGCTTTTGATATGTAGTATTTTCATTATTCAGTTTTACAGATTTTTACACTTCCATGATAATTTTTCTTTAACCCTGTGAATTATTTAGTAGTATGTTTATATCCAAATATGTGACTTTTTAGTTTATATTTTTGTATTAACCTATTTTATTTCAAATATGTTGTCAAATCTCATGAACTGGTGATACCCATCTTTTTAAATAGTGAGGCTTTCTTTTTTTTGTTTTTTTGTTAATCCTCACCTGAGGATATTTTCCCATTGATATTTAGAGAGAGTGGAAGGGACGGGGAGAGACACAGAGAAACATCGATGTGAAAGAGACACATGGATTGGTTGCTTCCTGCACACACCCCGACCAGAGCCGGGGAACAAGCCTGAAACCGAGGTACATGCCCTTGACCGGAATCAAACCCAGGACCCTTCAGTCTGCCAGCTGACACTCTATCCACTGAACCAAACTGGCTATGGCTGTGTCAAGATATTTTTAAATTTCCCTTGATATTTCTTTGACCCATTAATTGTTCAAGACTGTGTTGTTTAATTTCCATATATTTTTAAATTTTCCTTTTGCTAATGATTTCTAGTTTTATTCCATTGTGGTCTGAAAAAGTACTTGGTATGATTTTCATCTTGTTGAACTGGTGACTTATTTTGTCTCCTCACATGTGGGATGTCATGGGCATGTTCTGTGCGCTGCAGAAGGACGTGTTCTGCCGCTTTGGGTGGGGTGTTTGTAAAGGTTTCTCAGTTCCCGTCGGGTCAGTGTTCAAGGCCTCTGGCTACTGTGTGGTTATGTCATTATTGAAAGTGTTTCCGTGTGGCTGTTCCTGCACTTGCCTGGCAGACTGCAGCTCTTTAAGTGGTTTTGGGAATGCACATAAAGGCGTTGGGGCCTGATAGAGCTGCTAAATTGGTTTCCCTGTGGGGAATGAGGTCTGGGGCTTCCTCTTTCACTGTCTTGCTGATGCCACTAGAAATACTAAACACGCATTTCATGAGAACTTTGATACAAAGGTCTGTACTGAAAGATGCAGCCTGCTCTTGTGCACTCATCGCTTCTGAAGAATCACAAGGGCACTAGATAGCGTCCTGTGTGCCCAGGCCGAGCAGGGGGCAGCCGCAGCCTGGCCGTGTCGGCTGCTGACTCGGTCCCTGTGCGTCTGCCACTCGCCATGAGGAAGCCAGGCTGGGAGACTGGGCTCTTCTCTCTCGTCCCAGGTCCTGAGTCAGTGTCTTTTTCAGGGTCCGCTTTATAGTTTTCCAAGAATGGACAGCTGGCTCTTGGTTCCTTACTTGTTGGTCAGTCCAGACGTGTTACACAAGTCCTCCAGCTATTAGCAGGCAGGCAGGTAGGGGCTGAAGTCTGCTGGTCATTGGATCGGGGGCAGGAAGACCACATGTCCACATCACGTGGCATCACCTGCAGACATGGCCAGGGTCAGGATGTGCAGCTGACCACATACCCGAGGGTTTAGGGAAAAGTGTTTCCTGTTCTTTTGTTGAGACATTCCCAGTATTTTTAAGCCTGAGAAGGACTGATCATGCCGTCCTAGATATTCAAAATGCTCTATGTAAAATTGTGTTGATGTGATAAGCAAAGGAAACACACTCTTTCACAATCCTTTGATACCTAGTTTGATCCTTTTTAAAAAAATTCTGTTACAGACAAAATATAGAATCTAAAATTTGCCAGGAAGCAGTCGGCAAATTCCATTCTAGTATGAAAGAAGAACTCATCAGAATGGTAAGTTCACTGACACACATTTTCTGGTCTGAATCTTTTTTACTAGTCCCGAGGCAGCATACAGATATCGTGGAAGGACTGCATGTGCTGGCAGTGTGGGAATTAGCAGTATTTCACATGTGTTAAAATAAATGTGATTATATTATAAACTAACATTTAATTTTGGAAAATGTCATGCGGATATTTTGTTTCGTGTAGCTTGCGGAAGTCCAGATGTTGAAAACTCTGAGGAGGAGGAATGCTAAGGTAAATCACTTGTGATTAGCAGCTCATGTCGCCGAGTAGAGACTTGCCGGGGTTTTATGCCCTTCCATGTGTATAAGGTGTTTATCTTTTTAGTCTGGCTTTTATCTGGCTGGTCTTGTGGTTGAGTACTGTTAGTGCACGCTAAGGAAGGGAAAGGGCTATGAAGCCCCAAATGGGTAAGGCCTGAGTAATGCATGTTTATCACTTTCGTGGATGTGAACAAGCAAAGCCTTTAGAGTAAAGAGCTGCCCCACAATCCCAGGTGACAGCCTGGGAGAACACGGGTTGAGGGTGAGGAGAGCTCATTTCCTGTCCTGGCTCGGCTGCTCGAGTGTTGCACTGCCTGAAAATGTCCACCAGCAGGTGTGCCAGGAGGAAAGCCAGGAGCCTAGGCCCCGTCTGTTTATGGACCCAGTGACCCCGAGGTTCTGGCTCTAAACTTGCATGAATCGGGAGTGGAAGAGCAGCTGCCCCTCTGCCTTTACGGTAGAAATGGGTTGGAAACATACACCTTTTCCTGCCAGTGATGACAAGGCTTTGCTCCTGTTTTATCCTATCGTTTTAATCTCTGGTCAACTCTGCATTGCCTGTACATGGGAACAGTCTGAATGCCCAGCAGTGGAGTATTACGTAGTCACTCAAAGTGCTGGCTACAGGAATAAAGTTGATTATACTGAAATGTTCTTCCTAAAAGTGTACCCCGACCCTGCCAACCCGTTCCAATGTTTCCTAGTGTGCCTAGGTAAAACCGAAACTTCTCTGTCTCAGTGAAGCTCTGGAGTAAATAGCCCTGCTCTTCTCCCAGAGTTCCCTGCTTCCCTTCAGAGCACATGGTCAGAAGTTGTAATCACATACTGTTTGTATGTAACGTCTCTTTTCCCGAAAAGTTCCACGATGGAAAGAATGGGGTCTTGTTTCCCACTGTACTTCCACTGTACCACAGTATACTTGGTGGCACTCAAATATTTGTGAACTTAATTTAACAAAGGAATTTCTGTGTTACTTAGACGATTTCAGATATTGAAAAGAAAAGGCAGCGTTTGGTTGAAGTCCAGGATGAACTGCTTTGGTAAGAGAACGTCAGAAGCCTGAGGACTTACCTAGAGGGACTGGGACCTGTCCATGGGCTAGAAAATCTGCTGCTGGGCTGCGTGAACCCCAGGTTTGCCTGGAGCTCAGGAGCTGCAGAACCGGAGCAGCTTTTAGCAAAGGAGGATCGGCACTGATCTGCCATCAGAACTCATCCTGGGCTGCACAGACTCCAGAACCAAACTGCCTGGGTTTGAATCCAGGCTCTGCCACCTACGGGCTGCACAACCGTGAGCGGGTTACTTAACCTCCCAGGGCCTCGCGCCTTCATTTGTAAATAAGCATAAGACCTTCCCCTCACAGAGTTGTGAGAACCGAATGGATAAATATACAGGAAGTGCTGTGTGTTCACAGTTGTTGACGTACTGTCGGTACTGTCGCCGCATGTACCGTGGTGACACTCGTGCAGATCCATTCCCAAGCGTTGGGAAGTAAGCCACCAAGAGAAAGCCGTTTCCCAAGGCACGGGGGCAGTCCCCCCCCCCCCCTTGGTATTTTTGGACCTTGGAAATGGACAAGATTGTGATAGGGCAAAAAGAAGGCTTTTTGTCCATGCTTTTGCTGTTGCCTGTCTATTCCTGCCTGAGGCTTTTAATCCCATAGTTCCCAAGACCCTAAAAATGAGTTTTAGGCTATATAGGCAGCGGTCGCCAACCTGTCAGACCTCACGGACCACCAGTGGTCTCCGGACCACACATTGGCAACTACTGATATAGGGCATATTCTTCTGTGGACTTCATTGTGCATCATATTTCAGAGTTTTAAACAGAAAATCTAGAATCTTTCACACATTCATAATTTCAGAGCCAAACATGCCTTAAACTATCCAGTCCACCACCCCTGTTTTTTCTAACTTCGCTCAGTATATCTACAACTCAGGCTCATACACTTTATGTAGACTGTTACTATTCTATGTCATTTATTTTTAGGGAAACTTTTTGTGTGATTTTTTTTTTTTTGCTTTAGTTTAGAACCACAGCTGAAACAACTACAAACAAAATATGATGAACTTAAGGAGAGAAAATCTTCTCTGAAGAATGCAGCATGTTTCTTATCTAATTTAAAGCAGCTTCATCAAGATTATTCAAATATTCAGGAGAGACAACCAAATGTAAAGGAAACGGTAAGTTCTGTTTACTTTTCACTGTGCTTCAGAAGCTGGCCTTGCATGTGAGTACCAGAAGCTACGAGGACTTGAGAAACGTAGATGCAACATAACAGTCTACTCAAAACAGCATCGCTCTAAATCCTTGAAAATGTGTTTGATCATTGCTGCTTTAGCTATTTAATTAAGGCTAGAGGAGTAGAGAAGGCTCCTGAAACACCTATTTTATAAAGGTACTAGAGGCCGAGTGCACGAAATTTGTACACAGGTAGGGTCCCTAAGCGGCTGCCGGCTGCAGTGCCGGCCGGGGCCTGCCTTTGTTCCATGCCACCCCCTGATGGTCAGCGCACATCATAGCAAGCGGTCAAACTCCTGAGGGGACACTGCATATTAGGCTTTTATATAGAGAGATTTACATTTCAGAGAACCAAATCCCATTCAGGGAAGTAACCTGTTTGTACAAATTTCAAATGAACAACTAGGCTTTATTGTAATTGTTATAAGACCACCCAGACATGTTTTAAAGACAGGCCTGTTTGTAGGATGTTTTTTTATTTGAAAAACAAGTCATTATCCCATAAAATGGTAGGTGTAATATTAGAAGTTGAAAAACATAAAAAGGAAATATAGAAGTGTGATAGATTGTTTTAATAAATTTTATAGTTGCTTCTGGATTTTTGCTGCAGACTTTGCTACTGTTATGAGAATCAGCTCATATTAATAGGAATATTTAAGTTTCAGAAAGAAAATTTATATGTATCATGTACATATAGCTTATGACCATATTTTATTCTTCACTTCTAAATCCAATTTTAAGGTTTTTGTATTTTTTTAATTCTCATTCAAGGACATATTCATTGATTTTTAGAGAGAAAGGGAGAGAGAAACATCAATCAACTGCCTCCCTTACGTGTCCCAACCGGAGATTGAACCTGCAACCTTTTGGTGTATGGAACAACACTCCAAGCAACTGAGCCACCCAGCCAGGTCCAATTTTAGGTTTTGACACTGGTCTAAAAGTTAATCCTCCTACAGTAAGGTTTATTTCTAGGTTAAAGATCTGGAAATAGAACATTTTTATGTTATCTTTTCCTGTGACAGTACCCAACTAGTTTAAAGCTTGTCATATGGACTTGGAGATTTAGCTACTAAACGTGGAGAAATTGAAACCGAGATAGTGACTCTACCTTGTTTGAATACATTCCTCTGTTTCTGTTGTAGCACCTGTCCTTTTTGTTTATAGAGTATAGTTACTTGGGTATATATCTTACCTCTTTTCCTAAACTAAAGCTCTAACCAAATGTTAGTTCTTCCCCTTCACCCCTCCCTGACAGCAGGTGCCTCCTGGTAGCTCGAACACCTTAGGTTCTCAAATATGTAACTTAATTCCATTATTATGTGAATGGTATAGTCTGGCAGCTTTTCTGCTTAATTTTCATGTCTCAGAAAATCACATTAAACAACAATCATAATTATAAAATTCTGTAAGGGGAATTTAGTTCCTCTCCCATAGATACAGTTTACAACATGAAGTTTGGCTTTGTTAATTATTAAAAAATCAAGAGTTGGGTTTTTTTCTATTTTATTTTGGGTTTGTATTCTAATTTTTTTAATCATTAAGAAATTTGGATTGGCAACTTTTAAGACATTCAATTGATCTTCCCAGTAAGTAATTTCTCCAGGTGATGGCTTTTTTCCTTCATGAACTTTCACTTTTATGAGCCTGGAGTGCTCATTCCATCGGTTCTTACAGTGAAAGTAAATCTGCCTTACACAGGATGAGATCTAGCGACTTGTTTCCATAATTCAAAGGCCACAGTTCTTTGAACAACTGGTCTGGTATGAGGTCAACTCAAGCCTTGCAGAACAGTTCCCTTGAAACCTATTTATCAATTATGTCCTAAGAAAATGGGTTAAAACAAAATGAATGATCCTACCTCAAAAGATGAGTAGTTAATGGCTAGCTCTATTAAAATCGGCATTGAGCTGTGTGGAACAAATAGGGTTATAATATAAAAGTTATTAGTATTTGTTCATCTAAATGATTTTCCTTCAACAGTATGACTCATCCAGCCTCCCAGCGCTGTTATTCAAAGAAAGAACTCTCTTAGGAGCCGAAAGCCATCTGCAAAATATCAACCATCAATTGGAGAAACTCCTTGCCCAGAAATGAGACCAGTCTGCTAGAACATGCCTGCCTGGGTACAGATGAGTCCCACGCTCCTGCTGCCTTCCAAAGCTCCTGCTTATTGCTGAAGCAACACTCTTGATAGATGTAAGAAAGTAAACGTGTCTAGTTGTTCAGGCTGGTGCGCGGCCGTGTCACCAGTTTGACTGTACAGTAGCTCGAGAGGACATAATTAACTTGCCAGGTTAGTGTCCTGAGTGATAAGTTAACCTATAAATACGCAAAATTAGCTGATGTGCATACAGACTAACTTTGGTTAATCAATAAGAGATTTCTACTGAATTTAAGTACACTGACTCTAATTTTCAATAAAACTGGTTTACTTCAGTAAAAACCAAGAATTGGAATGCAAAATGATAAAATTTAGTTGATATTAACAGATTTAACAAGTTACTGTAATTTAATCTGTCTTCAGGCAAATTACAACCTGGTTATAAGTGCATGGTTAATTAGCTATTCTGTAATACTTCCACAATTACTTCGTCAGGAATTTCATCCACTCCACCATTATAACTGGAAAGGCTGTTCTCTGCAGCTTCTGCTAATTCAGCATCCTCAGTAGCTTCCAAGAAATAAGTATCATCAGGGCCACTGTCCCAGTCAGGGTCAGAGCACACACCTCCTGACGATGCGCTGGATGATGGCACATGAAGGCTCTGGATCCCATCGTCCATGGTTTCCTGTGTTGTAAACTCTTCTTCCTTTAGTTCCAAAGAGAAGGACGGGATAGAAGAAAACACTGTATTCATTCAGAATATGTGATGATTTCATGGAGCAACCTGTGTTGGATTAAGGTATAAAACCAGTACAGCAGATATCCAAGTGAATATGCTACATGGTGGGGTTTTTGATACCGTCACCTTGAGAGTGAACTCCTTTGTTCAAATATTGCTGCCACTGTCGCCAGAACATACTGGAAATGCCTGCAATTCCTACGATACATCCTGTTCAATAAAAACAGGCGGCCTACAGCAGGGCTAGGTTGATTTTTTTTTTTTAAGTGGATAGCCCAGCTGAAGGCAAATTGGAAAGCAGATCTATCTGAACAGACTTAAAGAAACAGTTTAGACAATTGTCAAAATGTGACTGGATTGTATATTAGATAATAGTATTGTGTCAACATTAAATTTTCTGAATTTAGTAAAATGCTCTTATTCTCCAGCTACATGCTTAAATATTAAGAGATGAAGGGTTTGAAGTTTGCAGCCTTCTTTCAAGAGATTTGTTAAAATTGACTGTTAAATCCTAACACCCCACATGATGTTATTTGGAAGTGAGGTGTTTGGGACTGGACTACATCATGAGGGTAGAGCCCTCATTAATAGGATTAGTGCCCTTAAGAGACCCCCAAGAACCCTCCCTTCTGTCACGTGGGACGTAGAAACAGGTGCAACATAACAGCTGCATCTCTCTGACCCGGGAAGCTGGCTCTCATCAGGCAGCACCTTGATCTGAGATTTCCCATCGTCCAAAACTGAGCAGTAATGTCTGCTGTTCAGAAGCCACCTGGTCTGTGGTTATAGAAGCCCCAAATGACAAGTTTAAAACCGAAACCATTTATACAGCAGTGATAACGCTATACCAACAGTACTTCCATCTGGCATTTTTGAGGTCTGACTAGATAAGCAGACCCACTGAAACCATAAACATGCTCAAAATAATACTCCAGGTAAAACAAGGATGATATTCTTCCTCTTAGAGGCAGTTTATTTTTTTATTTTTTAAAAATTAATTTATCAGAGACTCTGGCTACCAGCTATTTAGTCCAGCTTCTAGAGACCAAGAATGAGACTCTACATTTCTAAACATTTACTTAGCTTATATTGGCTAACTTTTATTCTAACCATAACACTCAAGGACAAGGCTGATAGATGGGTGGTGGGGAACCAACCAATAAAAAGTCTGGAAGATAACATGGCAAAAGAGTACTTAAGGCCACATAGAAGAAAAGTGGACAGTTATAGGCAATCTATTAAATCTGAAAAAAGTTCAACTTCATTATTAAATTAAGAAATGTAAAGTAAAACAACTAAAATACCACTTTTTTGCGTAGTAGGTTGGTAAACATTAGCAGGTGCTCTCATCAACTGAAGTGGAGAGTAATTTGGTAATATTGAAAATATTTCTGATAGTTTAGGAATAAAAGCTTACAAAACTATCAAAACTATATATATATGTGATATATGTGTGTGTGTGTGTATATGTGTGTGTGTATGTATATGTGTATTGTATACATATACACACACACACACACACATATATATGCATACTCAGATACAAATTCTGGAAGATATACAAATTCTGGAAGATACATACCAAAACATTTACATCAGCTATATGCTATATATAAGTGAGGATGATTTTTCCCACTTTTTACAATGAATGTAAATTATTTTGGTAAGAAATTTTTAAAAGGAAAAATGTTGGTTTGGCAATCTACCACAATTTAAAATGTGTACATTCCCTTTGACATAATTCTACTTCTAGAAATTCTTCCTGCAGATTTATTTGGTTTAAAGAAACACAAAGATGAGTATTTTTGTATACTTTGTGAAACAAAACAAACTTTGCTCACACATGGGACTGGTTAACATATGGAGCAGCGCAAAAGAATGCGGTGCGCTGATATGAACAGCACTACACCTCGCTTCCCACAGTGTGTGTAAAAACTGAATACGTTTGGACACTACTCATAGCTTTTATACGTTGTACCAAGGACTAATTAGTCAGGAGAGAAACTAAAATCTGCACTTACCTCTTTGAGAAGAAACGGGAGGCATATTTCAGCAGGTAAAGGAAAACCTGAATCGGAAAGAGGGTGAAACTGTTTTACACAGACATCTAATCTTCACTTGGTGGTAAATGTAAAATTTAATAACTCACGGTCAGATTTGAAGTTTTCCGCTTTACATATGGGGTCATGACATTTTTGATACCAAACTTCATTCTTCAGATCAACCAAAATCCTTTATGTTAAAAAAAAAGTTACTTAATAGCCAGAATAGATAGAAAATAAAATTCAGCTACATGCTCTTTATAAGAGCTATGCTAATTCTTAAAGACGGAGAAAACAAAAATTTAAAAAGTAAAAAATATACACCAAGCAAAAGAAAACTGATTGCCGAAAATATCATACAAAGTGGACTTGCGGGCAAAAAAAATACATCTCCCAAGAAAAAATACATTTCCCATTCTGTACCCAATTAAGATAGCTTCAAAGTACAGGTGGGGCAAAAGTAGGTTTACAGTTTTCATATGGAAAATAATACAATAGTAAACTCGGTGTTTCACATACTCTACTGTAAACCTACTTTTGCCCCATCCTGCTTGTGAGCAAAATTGACCATTTTAAGGATAAACAAACCTTTTACCATAAGTTGAGATTTAAAAAAAAACATTCTTTTGGTGACACAACAAATAACCAATCAGTAAGGATATAGGAAATTTGAATTACATAATTAAAAAGCAATTAACAGCTCAGCCAGTGTGGGTCAGTGATTGAGCATCAACCCATGAACCAGGAAGTCACAGTTTGATTTCCAGTCAGGGTGCACAATGCCCAGGTTTCAGGCTCAATACCCAGTAGGGGGCGTGCAGGAGCCAGCTGATCAATGATTCTCTATCATTGATGTTTCTATCTCTCTTCCCTTTCCCTTCCTCTCTCTGAAATTTAAAAAAGCAATTAACAGATTTGATGTAATAGTTATATATGAATACTGCTTCAAATAATCAAAAGCAGCTCTTTATAAAACATTTATAAAAATTGACTGCTAAAAACATTTAAAAATTGACTGCTAGGTACAATGTGAATCTTACTAAATTGAAAAGTATTCATTCATACAACATGTTCCCTCTTCACAAAGCAAGTTTAGAAATAAAAAGATAGCTACTAAAAACCTATAATTAGAAATTAAAAAACTTGTAAATAACCAGTTGACCCAAGAAAGAAATCATGGTAGAAATTAGTAAATGGTTAGAACTGAATGGAATTGAAAAGACATACTCAAATATGTGAAATGGACCTAAAGTTATCACAGAGGGACTTCAGATCTTCAAAGCTTATTTACAAAAACAGATCTTCAAAGCTTATTTACGAAAATGAACAATAGAAAAAATCCTAATAAGAGAAAAGGCAGGAAGTAATAAAAATTTTTAAAACTTAACAAAGGGCCAAAATGCGAAAATTGGTAAATTTCTTGTGAGATTAATTAAAAAATAAATAAGGTATACACACAAATGTTATTAGAAATTGCAGATGTAACTACAAATGTAAATTATACTAAAAATATAAGAATATTATGAACTTTTGCTAGTTAAATTGAAAACTTTGGTAAAGTAGACAAAATACTAGATAGAAATATACCAAACTAAGCAAACTAAAGCAATCCTATAACGACTAAATTTAAGTAGTGTAAAATCGTCCCACACTTCATAAAAAATGAAACATAGCCCTGGCTGGTTTGGCTTAGTGGATAGAGCGTCGGCCTGCGGACTGAAGGTTCCCAGGTTCGATTCCGGTCAAGGGCATGTACCTTGGTTGCGGGCACATCCCCAGTGGGGGTGTGCAGGAGGCGGCTGATCGATGTTTCTAACTCTCTATCCCTCTCCCTTCCTCTCTGTAAAAAATCAATAAAATATATTTGTTTTAAAAATGAAACATAAATGGCTAATATTCCACCACAGGGTAGTCAGACATGAACCCAGGAGAGAAAAATGCAGGCCAGCCAGCCTCACTGCCTCATAGACAGTCCAGTGACAGACTTCCTAGGAACAACCGAAGCTGCAGTTCCCAGGGACCAGAGCCCGCGGCAAACAGGACATTTACATCTTTCTAGGGAAATGGTGCCTGGATATCTGCCAAGCACCCTGCAACTGCTTGCAGTTTGGGGCTTTAATATTGCATCACCCTTCAACCCTTTCCCTGGCGCCCTGTGTTTGCAGTGCTGGGCTTTTTGGTGTGGCTGTGATAAAAGAACCATAAACGTCAATGTGGAAGGAGACAATGGTGGGGTGGCAGTGTTTAAGAGGTTATGCGATGCTCAGGAGGACACATCCCCTTAACAGTGATTGTATTAAAGAAGGGTCAAAGCTGCAAACTCCCAGTTATAGGTTAGTCATGGGGATATAACATAGAGCATAGACTATGGTTAAGAATGATGTCTTGCATATTTGAAAGTTGCTAAGAGAGTAAATCTTAAAGGCTTTCCTCATAAAAAATTTTTGTAACTATGGTGACATTGATTTAACTGTGGTGATCATTCCACTATGTGTACAAATACAAATTGATGAATATTGTTTTTTCAAAGAGCTACCAAATTGTTAGAGCAAAACCTGGAAGCTGTTTGAAACTATTTCACGAACAGAACTTAGATATTTCTTAGGCCTCGGATCAATGTGAAGAAATTACCAAGAATCTAAGGGCACCTTGATCTAAGTCTGGGAACCTCTGTACCAATGCTGTCTGCTAGGCAGAGTCCTTATCCACAGAATGCTCTTTGCAAGACATTTCTGATTTCTGCATACAGCAACTAAACCTAGTCCATGGATTATGAGGCACCGTTCCCTGAGAATGTCACATGCTATGTAACTATAACATGTAGATGTTTCACCACCTCAGTGCTCCCTGCTGTGTGCGGTGACTGCTCACTTCTGCCTCAGCTTGCTTTCTTTTTTTTAAAAAAAAATATATTTTTATTAATTTCAGAGAGGAAGGGAGAGAGATAGAATCATCAATGAGGAGAGAGAATCATTGGTCAGCTGCCTCCTGCAGACCTCACACTGGGGATCGAGCCACAACCTGGGCATGTGCCTGACCGGGAATCGAACCATGACCTCCTGGTTCATAGGTCTATGCTCAACCACTGAGCCAAACTGGCTGGGCTCTGCCTCAGCTTTTAACCTGAGTCAGAGAGCATCAGTGCAGGAAGGACCCGGGAGACCTGCCAGGTGTCCCCGGCCTCAGTCTGCTTCACCTGTGCCTCTGACTCCTTGTCTCTTTCAGTGAAGCTTGACACTGGGTAGGAATCTCAGATTCCTGAGTGTGGTTTGACAATGCACTCCTCAAATTCACTAGTAACCAGGCAAATTCATATGAAACTACAATATTTTACACCCACCAGATTAGCCAACCAATGTTTTAAACCTAACAATACTTAAGTTTTGGTGAGAATATGGAGCAGTAGGAAATCTGAAAACACTGCTGGTGAGAGTATAATTAGCATGGCCAGTAGGGAAAATAATTATTACCTAGTAAAATTAAGTATGTGCATATTCTATGACAGCAGCTATTTTCAGATACATATTTTGAGAAACTCGTGTGCACTAGGCAATATGCATAAGCACATGGGTAGCTTCATTATTCATCACAGAAAGCGACATGTCCACAGGACAGATAAGCTGGCATATTTATATAGTGACCTATTATACAATAATGCAAAGTGAGCAACAGCTACATGCAGTATGGATGAACCTCACTAATGCAATGCTGACCAAAAAGTAAGTCAAAGGATGCAATTTACATAACGTTAAAAATAATCTAAGATGAAATGATATACTGTTTGGAGATACAAATACATATGGAAAAAATGTTCAGAAAGCGAAGGAAAAACTAACACAAAATTCAGGATAATAGCTATTGTCTCTGAGGTCCAAAGAGGAATAAATTGGGGTTGGGCCCACAAGATGCTTCTGAGGTTTGACCAAGTTCTGCTCTTCCAGTGGGGGGCAGCAGTGGCAAGTGTTAGTCTATAAAATGCACATGTACATGGTACACTCTTCTATGTGTATTTCACAGTTAAGGAAAAGTAGATTATGGATACATAATACTGGTAATCCTTCAGAAAGAAAGATATAGCAACCCAACAATCTCAGAAAGTTAAAAGATGGTCATATACTGTATATGGATGATAATTTTCTGGTAAACTTATATGCATAGAAAAATACACCAAAACCATAACCATAGTTATCACTGGTTCAGGGACTAGCGGTGATATCTTCCTTTGTGTTTTGCTATGTTACAGTGTTGTGTGTTGAGCATAGTTCTGAAATTGTTTAATGAATTAAGCTACGTGTGCAGTACAGCACAGAATCATGCTCCCAGCATGCTTTCTGGATTTCCAGCAGCTGCTGTGTGACATGTTCTCATGTCTGGTACATGTGCTGTATGTGCTGGACATACAGAGGTCTCAGCTCTGACAGTAAATAGATAAACAGCACAATTTCTTATATAACATAACTACTGGGTTTCTACTCTATCCCTATTCTAACCATATCCTTTTATTGTTTAAAATTCTGTTTCTGGTTTTACTTCATCCTTTACTTCCTCTCCTTTGCCAGGGGATTAAAAAGAAACTAAAACTAAAACAGGGCCTGGCATGGACAGCAAGCATTCAGTAAACAGTGGTTTCCTTCTATGCCATTCTGTGTCTTGAACACATAAACATAACCTGCACTCCAACTCCTAACACTGAGAAGTTTCCTTCTTGTCCAAATTGTTCCATTGCACTTTAGCTTCCATAAGGTGTCATGGGCCACCTGCAGTAGGAGAGAGACCTTCCACCATTGTTCATCATCTGTCTCATTTCTTTTAGCCCCACTGCATCCTACCTTAGTCCTCTAAAGGTTATACTATCTACGAGATTATTTTACCAAGTAAAGTACAAATGAAGATGATAGGTGCTAGGTGGAAGGTTGTAATTAAAATATTCAAATTAAATGTTATAACACAAACTAAATATAAATTGAATTATAACTAAACTAGTAGCCTGGTGCACGAATTCGTGCACATTGAAAGGAAATTAATTAGAAGAAATATTTTAATATCGCTATTCTATTCACCCTTTCTCTATAATAGAAGCGTCAACCAAATTCACGATCGACAATGACAGATCGAAACACATGCGTGTGGCGCCACGGAGAGCTTTATTGTATCGCGTATGCGCGAATCAACTTAGCCTTTTATATAGATTATAAAGACAATTTTTAACTTTAAAAATTATAAATATTAAAAATATTGGTTAAAATGTAGAACTTATTAATAAACAATATTACTTACATGATATTATTACTCTTGTGGGCTCTTCCAATGTTTCCACACCAGCGATATTTACAAATGTCATAAACCAATAATTCTTCTGGAAAAAAGTAGTTCCAACGCCGAATCCCTAAAATGCAAATAATGTTTCTAAAGGCATTTTTACTCTATCATAAAACAGTTAATAAAAAATAAGATTGTCTTTACCTCCTTTAATGCCATTTTTATTCACCAAAGAAAGAACAAATTGATCAATTTCAGGGTAGGGCGAGGCCTGAAAACCTTCAATGTTTTCTACTGCAACAGAGAGAAAAATTAATTATAAATGATAATGGTTAAAGTTGAGAAGTTTTGATTTAAGTTGTTTAGTATAATTTTGGGTTACCTCCTCCCCCTTGGTTCCCAATCTCCCCTTTTTGCAATGTTCCTTTTAATCAGTCATGGATTTTTATTTTCCTACAAGCAGGTAAAATTCAAACCTCTCAATTAAGCCAAATGTCAACTAATGATTACCAAAAGCATGTATAATCAATTGCTTTCTTCACTCTAATAAGGAAGCACAGTCCCTTACACCCAGGAGCTGCCTGGTCCTATGAGGTGGGCTTGGGTGTAGCTACCAGGTGGCTGGGCACCACAGCTCAGCCCTCGTGTTCTGTTCATCATAAACTATTTCACAGAACTTCAGCATCAGATGAGGTCATTCTGTGGCGATGATGATTCAAGACAAAAATGAACACATGTCTGAACACAGACAAAACGAACGGACATTTTCCAAGCCAAAGAAATGATCAAATACACCCTTATCGTGTCTAACATAATTAACTGCTGTTTCTTACCTGGTTACAGCTTTAGTCTCCCTGAAGTCTGCCTGCTTTCTAGGTAAGATTTCTCAATATTCATCATAGAACTTTCCCTGATGGGCCCTCCTCAAAAGCCCCTAACTTAAGCCTGAATCCTAACACCCTTTACTGAGATGCCCCGTGGCTCCCTATGGTGTGCATTCTCCATCGCTGTGAACAGTAATACACTTGGCTTGCTCAACACAGTGTGTTCTCTGGTGGTCTTTAGATGCAGGGCACTGACATTCAGCTACATTTTGTATCTAAGTGTCTACTGGAATAATTTAGAATAAATTATTTACAATCCCATTCAACATTTAAAGATAGAATAATCTACTTTTCTAAAAATAAAGCCTGTATTTCACTTACAAAAGTAATATACATGATTGGAAAAAATTTGGAAATATATTAAAGCATAAATAAGAGAAACTCCAAAACAATGTCTTCAAATAACTGTTAGTCATATAATAGGTTATTCATATTTTTTTAAAACTTGTGATCATACCTCAACATATAATTTGAGTCTACTTTTTCTCTTAACATCATAAGTGGATACTTCCCATATTATATTAGACTTTATAAATTTTAATTAAATGACTTCAGAGAATTTTATATTATGGAACCAATCCCATTTTGTTGTACACTTAGATTGTTTTCAGTTTTTCACTATTATAAATAATAATAGCCCAAAATCTATACTAATAAGAGGGTAATATGCTAATTAGACCGATAGACTAGCTGTCCTTCTGGAGAAAGCCACGGTGGCAGGGGCCAAGGCAGAGGGCAGAGGTGGTTAGGGGCGATCAGGCCGGCAGGGGAGAGCAGTTAGGGGCGATCAGGCAAGCAGGGAAGAGCAGTTAGGGATGATCAGGCAGGCAGGCAGAGGCAGTTAGGGGCAATCAGGCAGGCAGGCAGAGGTGGTTAGGAGTGATCAGGCAGGCAGGCAGAGGCGGTTAGGGACAATCAGACAGGCAGGCAGAGGTGGTTAAGGGCAATCAGGCAGGCAGGGCAGAGTGGTTAAGGGCGATCAGGCAAGCAAGCAGGTGAGCAGTTAGGAGCCAGAGGCCCCAGATTGCGAGAAGGATGTCCGACTGCCATGGGATAAATCATTGGACCTAAACCAGCAGTCAGACATCCCCCGAGGAGTCCCAGATTGGAGAGGGTGCAGGCCGGGCTGAGGGACATCCCCAATTCCGCCGCCCCCCCCCCATGAATTTCGTGCACTGGGCCTCTAGTGTGTGTGTGTGTGTGTGTGTGTGTAAAGTTCACTAGAGAGTTTATGTAGGAAATCTTAGGAAAAAAACCCTGTATGTTCTTCAGTATAGGAATGAAGAATACCTACTTTTCATGAGAAACTGCGGCCATTAAAAGAATGAGATGCTCTCCAGTTACTGGAAATACAGGAAAAACCCTCCTGGTTAAATACAAAGCTACTGACAGTGATCTTCCCTTTGTGGACAGAGGATGAAGAGAACTCTTAGGTGTCTTATTTTAATATGTGTTCATTTAATACAAACAATATATTACTTCGGTAGGGGTTTTTTCAAAATGGTATAAATGAAAATTAGTGAATAAGCTTTTTAAAATATCTCTTTAATTTTCATTTTGGATAGAAACTTAGTCATTTTAAAAGATCAGTAGATATGAATACGTAAGATTTAAGATTTTAAAGGCAAAACAGATTTAACATCCTTAAATTTTCATAGAAAATTATTTTTGTATAATTACCTGAAGTGCTGGTACTATTAAGATGCCCAGCCTGTTTTTGTTTATTCTCGGATGCATCACATCTAAGTACTCGTAAAGTATCTGAGAATCTGAAGAAAATATGTTCAAGAAACAAAATAATATTATATTAGAATTAAAGAGACATAGCTACAGAAAAGAAACAACCTCAAAGAATTCCATATTAAAATACTCTGTTCAACAGCTATTATCCCAGGACATTTATGCCACATTTGCCTATCAAAGCACCAATCCTGCCCACATAAAAAGAGGAGTCCGGTGATCACTTAAAACACGTTCCTGCGGAGTGAGCCGAGGACTCCGAGGCTGCTGAAGGGACAGAAGGAGGTGTAATCCCACTCCCCAAACAGAGCCTCTGAAATGTCTGTTACAATGATTAAAAGTGTAGAAAAGAGAAGGAAAAGACAGGTGAGAGCAAAGGGAAAAATGGATTGAAATTAATGGAAATAAAAGAGGCATTCATAACCGTAAAGAATTTTGCCTTTAATTTCAAAAAGAAATCCTCTACTTGGATACACAAAAGACAACAAAGGAGGCCCTAGTTCAGTAGAACTCTGCATTTCTGTGAAATTAATATTGAAGTTACAAAAGAAATGGGGGACTTCAGGCTGTATCTATCATAGATCCCCTAGTTGCTTTTCCATACATGATAGGATGTGATCTTATTCTGGGGTCAACAACTGGGGGCAGCAATTGTCATACAATTTTTCACTACTCCCATACTACTTCTAGATCTCAGAAACTGCTACCACTACTATAACACTTACTGAGCAGATACTATGTGCCAGGCACTGCATATATGTTTTTTTAAAAAAATGTGTTATTATACCACTTTTATTTATTTTTTAAAAATATATTTTATTGATTTTTTACAGAGAGGAAGGGAGAGGGATAGAGAGTTAGAAACATCGATGAGAGAGAAACATCGATCAGCCGCCTCCTGCACACCCTCTACTGGGGATGTGCCCGCAACCAAGGTACATGCCCTTGACTGGAATCGAACCCGGGACCTTTCAGTCCACAGGCCGACACTCTATCCACTGAGCCAAACTGGTTAGGGCTGCATATATGTTTTATATATAGTTTTAACTTATTTAATCCTAACAACTCCCTAAGACAGATGTATTATTTCCATTTTAAAGGTAAGGAAACTAATACTTTGACATTACTTCTGAGATATGTTATGGAAGAACTCAAACAGTCCAGAAACGTCTGAAGAAAAGCAACCATCTGCCCCCCTTCCTTGGGACTGCCCAGACACAATTTTCCCCACACCAAATATTTTAAACATTTTTATTAAAATTCATTCCTGTGGAGTTTCTTTTTAAGATTATATCTGGGGAAAGCAAAGGAAGAGCAAGTTAACAAGGTAATTTAGTGCTTGGGACTAACAAAAATTGCAAGCCTAGAATCAAGGGAATTAAAGGCAAATATATTTATGTATATATTTTTTTATTTATTTCAGAAAGAGGAAGGGACGGGAGAGAGAGATAGAAACATCAATAATGAGAGAGAATCATTGATCGGCTGCCACCTGCACACCCGCTACTGGGGATTGAGCTTGCAACCCAGACATGAGCCCTGACCAGGAATCAAGCTGTGATCTCCTGGTTCATGGGTTGATGCTCAACCACTGAGCCACACCGACTGGGCTAAAGGCAAGAATTTCTGTTGAAAGCAGTCTTTCACACTTTTTTAAATGACCAAAATATGTAAAATCAAATGTTCAACAATAGAACAACAAATCAGAGTATATAAATACAATGGAAAATTATATAGGTATTAAAAAATTAACTGCTGGCAAATTATTAACTTGGCAAATATTCAAAATATGTTGAGTGGATAAAACAGGTGACATACCATACTCTCAACAAATATTTTTTTAAATGATGGAAATTATATATGTATGTGCATATATGAAAAAATGAAATGTTAATAGTAATTATATTTCTAAATGCAATAAAACTATTTTTATTTTCTTCTTTATAGAAATGTTAATCATTTTAGAAAAACTGGAAAAATATATAAAATATAATTATAAAAAGACATAAAGAGAATACTATGTGGTTAGAAAATAAATTTTACTATTATATTTCAGTTAATAGACAAAAGAAAACAGTAATCTAAAATTTTAAGAACTGACTTTCTTGTTTAAGGTAGAATGAATTTACACAATTTACATTTTAGTGCTGTGCAATGCCATTCACTGTGCAATATTCATGAATACACAATGGTTTACTTCTGATACTACATACCTGACATTGCTGACCAAAGAAGAGAGGAAATACTGTTCCTCTTCAGAAGTATTCTTTGACTGTGTAAGAGAATATCTGTTATCTTCAGCGACCTCCAACACCACTGGCTTCCCCTTTTTTGATGACTTATAGAGCCGAAAGTTCCTATTTCTTGTATAAACTCCTATATGAAAGATTAACAAAACAGTATGAACGCATGTTTTCAGTTGTTTTTATAGTCAGCAAGTGTGAAATTAATTTGTGTAGCATTTTTAGAAGAAACAACAGTTCTGATTCACCTTGGCAATCTAAAAAGATCCTGCGCTCCCCTCTTCCTGTGGTCACAATGAACCTAAGCTATATATAGAAAAACGTCCTCTGGAAAAAACCTAGAATCTGGTGGAAGTCCCCCTTCACAGAGAGAAAATGAAAGGAAGCCACATCAAAGCAGGTAGGAAGGGCTGAGACACATTCACGTTAAACCCCACCCCTGGCAGGGCAACCCATCACATGGCCGGGGTGGGGGGAAGGGAACAGAACCCTGAAATTCTCCTGGGGAACCCCAACTTTTAAGACCAGCAATTGAGAAACATAACCTCCCAAACACCTGGCTCTGAAGATCACCTGCGTGGCTGTGGCGAACAGGCACGGCTCTTAAAGGGCTCACATGTGGACGCACCCACCTGGGCCCAGAAGCAGCCCTTTGAAAAGCACCAGACTTTATGTGCAAGAAACCCATTTGCGGATTTTAAAGTGCTGGTTTGCATGGCTGCCCTGGCCTGTTTGGCTCAGTGGATAGAGCCTGTGGGAATGCAAGTGTTTCAGGCAGAGAACAAGTGCTCACACCCCCTTTGGGGATGCAGGCTGGTGGGTACCATCTTCCCGCTCTCCCTGTGCCTTGTTAATGCCACTGGCACCATCTTTTCTTCTGCTCCCTTCCTTCTTTCCTCAGCAGGTGCCCGCCCTCTGTCTCACCCCTCTGTGCTCTCAGGCTGTGTCCAGGGGCACCACTATCTCCCAGAGCGGCGCTTCTACACTCTGGTGCCCCACTTGTCACTCAGGGGACACCCCTTGATTGCTTTGCATTCGTGGGTCCCATAGGACTGTAACAATTGGAGAGGCAGTTCTTGGCCGGCTACCACCCCCAGGGCACTGCACAGACAACAGACTGAACACAGCTTTTCTGTGAAAGAGTCTTAATTGCTTGTCTTAGAGCTTCCCCCTTAGTTGCAGGTTTCAGGTTGGGCACACAATTTTGAGGCTACAGAGCTACTCCCAGAGAATGTGAGCCAGGGAACCCTATCTGTGCCCTCTTCCTCTGCCTCGCCACAGCTCGCTGGCATGCCCCATAAGGAGCTTATACACTTGTCTGGCACCTGGTCTTTTTGACTCCTGCTCAGGAAACACCTCCAGATGGCCTGGCTCTGGTGGCCTTGGGCTCACCCTTCCAGTGCCCAGGGCAGGACTGTGTATATTTGCATTCTTTAAAAGCTGCAGCCTGAGGGTCCGGCTTCTAATCAGAATAATCTGCGTGCTGAGATGCTCCCTTTTGAGACACAGACTGTTTCTGGCACAGCCTCAACTACTGGGAGTTGTTAGGGATTTTTAAAAAGCTGCTTGGACAATCACAAAGGCTTAATAGACGAGAGCCAGGGCAGAGCAGGATTAACCAGCCGTTCATCTCCTACACAAAGCCAACCCTTCAAGCCTGGGAGAAGTGGCTGTTTCATCTATGCATAGAAACCACAGAGAATTAAGAAAAATGAGGAGACAACGGAATATGTTCCAAATGAAAGAACCAGATAAAACTGAAGAAAAAAAAAAACCTTAATGAAATTAACTAATTTACCCAATATAGAGTTCAAAGTGATGTCCATAAAGATGCTCAACAAACTCAGAGGAGAATGGATAAACAACGAGAACTTTAACAAAGAGATAGAAAATATAAGAAAGTATCAGACATAATTCACAGGGCAGAGGAATACAATAAATAAACTGAAAAAGACACTAGAAGGGTTCAATAGTAGAGTAGATGAAGCAGAAGGGAGAATCAGTGAATTAGAGACAGGGCAGAGAATCAAATCTCTCAGAGAATAAAAAAGAGAAAAGAATGTAAAAGGTGAAGACAGTTTAAGGGACTATGGAACCACATCAAGCAGACTACCATTTTCATTACAGGAGTCCCAGAAGGGGAAAGGGATAGAGAGAGGAAGAGGGAGGAAAAGAGAGGAGGAGGAGGAGGAGAGGAGGGAGTGATACACTGTTCTCTTGGGAGGTTTATACAACTACCCACATCTGGTTTTGCATTAACCCCTTTAAAAAATGAACTCTGGCCTGGCCGGTGTTGCTCAATGGTTGAGCATCAACTTATGAACCAGGAGATCACAGTTCCATTCCCTGTCAGGGCCCATGCCAGGGTTGTGGGCTCGATCCCCAGTAGGGGGCATGCAGGAGGCAGCCGATCAAGATCAATGATTCTCTCTCATCATTGATGTTTCTACCTCTCTCTCTCCCTCTCCCTTCCTCCCCAAAATCAATAAAAGCCCGGCTGGCATGGCTCAGTGGTTGAGTGTCAACCTATAAATCAGAGTTCGATTCCCAGTCAGGGCACTCACTCACTAAATAAATAAATAAATAAATAAATAAATAAATAAAATATTTTTTAAAAAGGGAACTCTGTCTTGGGAGGGGTGTGGATTTCTCCCAGCCCACCACCACCGGGACCCGCTGCTTTGCCCCTGTATATGTTTCTCCTATTAAAGCTTTTATGAATTTGAATAAGGCCACATGTCAGTTCTTCAGAATCCATCCTGAATCTAGACTTTTGGGGCTTTCCCCAACACTGGCGAAGTCATTCATATTAAAGGATAGTTTTCCAGACAAGCAAAATTTAAGGAGTTCATCACCACTAAACCACCCTTCCAAGAAATGTTCAAGGGACTCTTCGAGCTGACCAAAGAGCACTAACTCATAATAGGAAAACATATGAAAGTATAAATTACACTTGCAAAGGTATATGTGTAGTGAAAGTAGTGGATTAGTCACTTATAAAGCAAGTATGAAAAACAGCTAACTCTAATAATTAGTTAAGGGATCCAAAAATGAAAAATGTAAATTATGATATCAAAAACATAGAGGTAGTAAAAATATAGAACTTTAGAATGCATTCATAGTTAAGTTACCAATTTGCTATATATTGTTATAAGTTGTTATATGGAAGCCTCATAGTAATCACAATGCACAAATCTAGAGTAGATACACAGAAGATAATGAGAAAGAAATCTAAACATACCATTAAAGAAAATCATCAAACCACAAAGAAAAAGAGCGAGAGTAGAAAGGAACAGAGGAACAGCCAGGAAACAACAAATGGCAATATGTATATATTCATCAATAACACTTTAAAAGCGAGTGGACTAAAAACTCCAATCAAAAAAGAGAGAGCACTAAATGGATTCAAAAACAAAATCCATCCAAGATTATGGTGAGACAAAGCAAGGCATTACATAATAATTAAGGGGTCAATCCAAAAAGAAGATAAAACATTTGTAAATATTTATGCAACCAACAAAGGAGCACATAAGTATATAACGGAAATATTAATAAACCTAAAAGAAGAAATATACAGCACAACAGTAATCGTATGGAACATTGATACCCTCTTACATAAAGGGATAGACCATCCCGAAGATGATCAATAGGAAAGCATCGGCCTGGAATGACATGTTAGATCAGATCAACATAACAGACATATACAAAACATGGTGTCCTAAAGCAACCTAATACACATTTCTTCTCAAGTTGCACATGGAACATTCTCCAGGACAGATCATGCATTAAAAACAAGTCTTAACAAATTTAAGAAGACTGAACTCATATCAAGCATCTTTTTCAACCACAATGATATGAAATAGAAATCAATTACAAAAAGAAAACTAGACAACTCACAAATATGTAGAGATTAAACAACATGCTATTTGAACAACCAAAGGGTCAACAAAGAACTCAAAAGAGAGATCAAAAAATACCTTGAGACAAAAGAAAATGGAAATGCAACACACCAAAACTTATTAGTATGAGATGCAGCAAATGCAGTGCAAGAAGTGTAGCATAAATGCCTACACCTCAAGAAACAAAAATCTCGCCCAGCCAGTGTGGCTCAGTGGTTGAGTATCGAACTGTGAACCTGGAAGTCATGGTTCAATTCCCGGTTAGGGCATGTGCCCGGGTTGTGGCCTAGGATCCCCAGTTTGGGGGGACATGTAGGAGGCAGCCAATTGATGATTCTCTCTCATCATTTATGTTTGTCAATCCCTCTCCCTCTCTGAAATCAATAAAAATATAAAATAAAACAGCAACAGAAATCTCAAACAACCTAACTTTACACCTCAAAGAACTAAAAAAGGAAGAAAAAGCGAAGCCCAAAGTTAGTAGAAGGAAATACCAAAGATCAGAGCAGATATAAATGAAATAGAGACTGCCGAAACCGGTTTGGCTCAGTGGATAGAGCGTCGGCCTGCGGACTGAAGGGTCCCGGGTTCGACTCCGGTCAAGGGCATGTACCTGGGTTGCAGGCACATCACTAGTGGGGGGTGTGCAGGAGGCAGCTGATCGATATTTCTCTCTCATCGATGTTTCTAACTCTCTATCCCTCTCGCTCTCCCTTCCTCTCTGTAAAAAATCAATAAAATATATTTAAAAAAAAATGAAATAGAGACTAAAAAGATAATAGACAAGATTAATGAAACCAAGAACCAGTTCTTTGAATAAAGACGACCTTTAGCTAGACTCATGGGTAGGCTGGGGGGGAGGGGAGGGGGGAGGGAAAGAGGGGAGACTTAGTACAACCTAGAATCTTACCTAATAATAGACAAACATGTAAATTGACCGTCCCTCCACTATGCTCACCAGGCAATCAGGAGAGTATGCAAATTAACCAAACAAAGATGGCGGTTAATTTGCATATGTAGGCGTGAAGTGGCAGAGCCAAGACTGAAGGCTCTGTCTGGAGCAGCAAAGTCTTAAGGCTCCAGCCAGAGCAAAGGCCTAGGTCCCAGGTGCCAGAGGAAAACCGGTGCCAGCGGAAAACCGGTGCCAGCAGCCAGGGAAAGGGAAGGCCTATTGCATGAATCTCTTCATGCAACGGGCCTCTAGTAAATAGATAAATTCCTAGGAACACTCTTCTAATACTGAATCATGAAGAAACAGAAAATGTGAATGGTCGATTACTAGTAAAGAGATTGAATCAGTAATCCAAAACCTCCCCACAAAGTCCAGGATCAAATGACTTTAAATGTGAATTCTACCAAATACAGTGGGGCCTTGACTTACAAGTGTCCCGACTAACGAGTTTTTCGAGATACGAGCTGTCTCTTGGCCGATTTTTTGCTTTGAGTTGGGGGCTAAAATTCGGGTTACGAGCCAGCTTCAGATACCCCACCGCTAGTTGGCACAGCGAACGTCACAGTGAACGCCACAACATCAGCCCAGCATCACATGTCTCACTTGTTCACTGTTGATTTGACATATGAGTAATTTGAGTTATGAGCTCCGTCATGGAATGAATTAAACTCATAAGTCAAGGCCCCACTGTATTTAAAGAAAAATCAGTATCAATAGTTCTCAAAATCTCCCCAAAAAATAAAAGAGAACACTTACAAATTCATTTTACAAGGCTAGCATCATCCTAATAGCAAAACCAGACAAGGACTCCACAAGAAAACAAAATTACAGGCTAATATATCTGATAACATAGATATAAAAATCTTCAAAATAATATTAGCAAACCAAATTCAACAATGCATTTTAAGAATCATACCCCATGATCAAATTAGATTTATTCCAGGGATGCAAGGATGCTTCAATATCCAAAAAACAAGCCATATGATATACCACATTACCAAAATGAAAGATAAAAACCGTACGACTATCTCAATAAAAGCAAAACCACAACTGACAATATTCGACATCCGCTTATGGTTAAAACTCTCAACAAGGTGAATATAGAGGGAATGTACTTCAACATAATAAAGGCCATATACGACAAGCCCACAGCTAACATCATACACAGGAAGCGCTAAAAATTTTTCCTCTGAGATCAGAAAATAGACAAGGATGCCCACTCTCACCACCCGTTCAACAAAGTATTGAAATCCTATGTGGAGTAATTAGTCAAGAAAAAGAAAAAAAGGAATCCAAATTGGAAAGAAAGAACTCTATTTGCAGATGATGTGATACTATGTGTAAAAAGCTTTAAAGGACTCCAACAAACTACATACATATACTAACCGCCCCTCATCTGAGTTTTTGCTTTCTGCAGTTTCAGTTACCTGTGGTCAACCATGTTCTGAGAATATTAAATGGAAAATTCCTGAAATAAACAATTTATAAATTTTAAATTGTGTCCGTTCTGAGTTTATGATGAAATCCCACGCCATCCTGCTTCAACGTGCAAGGGCATGAGTCATCCCTTTCACTTCTCGCCCATTAGTCATTTATAACCATCTTAGTTATCAGATCATCTTTCAGAGTTGCAGTGCTTGTGTTCAGCTGACCCTTATTTTATACTAGAGGCCCGGTGAACAAAAATTCATGCATTCGGGGGGCGGGGGAGGGGGTCCCTCAGCCCAGCCTGCACCCTCTCGCAGTCCGGGACCCCTCGGGGGATGTCCGCCTGCTGGCTTAGGCCCTCTGCCTGTGGGAAGTGGGCCTAAGCTGGCAGTCAGACATCTGTCCTGCAGTCAGGGAGCCCTCACTCCTTACCACCCGTCTGCTCGCTGCTCCTTAGCGTTGCCTCGGAGGCAGGAGAGGCTCCTGCCACTGCCGCTGCGCTCACCCGGCTTCTGACTGAGTGGTGCTCCCCCTATGGGAGCGCACTGACCACCAGGGGGCAGCTCCTGCGTTGAGCGTCTGCCCCCTGGTGGTCAATGCGCATCATAGCGACCGGTTGTTCCCCAGGTCAGTCGATTTGCATATTAGCCTTTTATTATATAGGACAGTGATGGCAAACTTATGACACGCGAACTCATTTTTTTGGTTGATTTTTCTTTGTGAAATGGCATTTAAATATATAAACTAAATATCAAAAATATAAATCTTTGTTTTACCATGGTTGCAAATATAAAATAATTTCTATATGTGACACGGCACCAGAGTTAATTTAGGGTTTTTCAAAATGCTGACACGCCGAGCTCAAAAGGTTCGCCATCACTGATATAGGATGATGATAATGACCCCGAGAACAAGAGCAGTGATGCTGGCAAAGAAAAGCCAGACAGCGCTTCATTTAAGTGGAAAGGTGAGTACAGTAAAATATTTCGAGAGAAAGACTACATTCACATAACTTTAGTATATTGTTATAATTGTCCTATTTTGTTAATTATTGTTGCTAACCTTTTACTGTGCCTAATTTATGAATTAAACTTGATCATAGGTATGTATATATAGGAAAAAAACATAATATATATAGGGTCCAGTATTATCTACAGTTTCAGGCATCTACTGAGGTCTTGGAACATATCCCCATCAGATAAGGGGGGACTATTGTACAATGGAATTTTATTCAGCTAAAATAAACAAAGAAATACTATCATTTGTGACAGTACATATGGACTTGAGGGCATTATGCTAAATAAAATAAGTCAGACAAAAACAAATACCAAATGATCTTATTTATATTGTGGAATCTAAAAAAAACCCAAACCAAAACCAAGCTCATAGATACAGAGAACTGCCACCACTGGTGGCTGCCTTGGTTGGGAAGTGGGCCAAGTGTGTAAAGGGAAGTCAAAAGATAAACACTTCTGGCTCTAAAATAAGTAAGTCCTGGGGATGTAAGTACCGTGTGGCAACTATAGTTAATAATACTGTATTGTGCCCTCACTGGTTTGGGTCAGTAGATAGAGCGTCAGCCTGCGTACTGAAGGGTCCCGGGTTCAGTTCTGGTCAGGGGCACATGCCCAGGTTGCGGGCTCAATCCCTAATAGGGGGCGTGCAGGAGGCCGATTGATGATTCTCTCTCCCTCTCCCTTCCTCTCTGAATCAATAAAAATATGTATTTTTTAAAATGCTGTATCGCATATTTGAAAGCTGCTAAGAGAGTAGATCTTAAAAGTTCTCATCACATGAAAGAAAAATTTCAGTAACTATGTCCACTAACGGATGTCAACTAGACTCACTGTGGTGATTATTTTGCAATATGTACAAATATCAAATCATTATGCTATATACTTCAAATTAATGTTGTACACTTCAAACTAATGTTGTATGTCAATTATACCTTAATTCAAAAAAATAATAAAATGAAGGTGAATAAAATCACCTTCAAGGACAAAAATACATACAAAAATATATTTTTAAAAAATACATTTTACATTTTACCAGATGTAAGCAAAAGCAACACATAAATTAAAATAAATTGGAGATGGCAAGAAAGAATGCCACATCCAGAAATAGCAAACTAGAGTATTTTGGAGGCAATCCTCCTCAATAAATAAGTAGAAAAGCTGGACAAATGTGTTAGGGGAAAAAGTCTGAGGCTATGGGAGAGCTTTCAAGACGGTGATGATTTGTGGTGCCAAATCTCAGAAAAGAGGGAAGCATCAAAACATCCAGCATAGCCCTGACCAGTTTGGCTCAGTGGATAGAGCGTCAGCCTGTGGACTCAAGGGTCCCAGGTTCAATTCCGGTCAAGGGCATGTACCTTGGTTGCGGGCACATCCCCAGTGGGGAGTGTGCAGGAGGCAGCTGATCGATGTTTCTAACTCTCTATCCCTCTCCCTTCCTCTCTGTAAAAAAAATCAATATATTTAAAAAAAAATAAAAATCATTCTCTCCCCTTTAAAAAAAAAAAACATCCAGCATCTCTCTCTCTCTCTCTCTCTCTCTCTCTCTGTCTCTGGTATTAGAGGGCAGATCAGAGATTACCTCTGCCGGAGGAGGAGGGGGTAATGCCTGGAAGGGGAAGGAGGTGCCAGGGTCCTGGCCACCTTCTATTTCTTGTCTTGGGTGGTGTGGTGACAGGATGTGTTCATTTTGTGGTAACTCACTGACCTGTACACTCACAGATCATGGACGTTTCTGTCTGAATGTTATATTTCAACAGAAATGTTTTCTAAAAAAATTTCGCCCTGTACCATTAAGCCTGGCGCTTCCGTCCCACAGGGACCTCTCTGAGATCTCTGACAGCAACCCGAGCTCCTGACTACATTCTGCTGGTGACCCCGCGGTCCCTGTGGGAACAGTGGTGGCAGCAAGGACCCTAAGGTGGCAGTAGGCACGGACAGAAGTGCACAGGACAGTCCCACAGAGCTGTTGATGGTGCTCACCTAGATCGACAAAAAGACGCTTTTTCCCTGCAGGATCCTTCACAACTAAGAAGGAAAGGTCAGGGCCGCTCCGCTCGGCGGACCCCAGCCTCTCCGGGGCTTTGGAAGTCAACGTCCAGCTCTCTCCTCTCTCCTCATCTGTGGACATTTCACGGAAGGAAATTCCTTGTTTAATTGGTGGTTCAGAAAAATGGGAAAATGCTTGGCCGGTTGTCCCTGGAATCCCACCATCATCTTCATCATCTCCACTGGCAATCAAATGAAAAGCAGGCTGCAAAATCTTTCTCACAAAATTACCTGAAGAAAACAAAATTATGATTAATCTAATTCTTCTTTTTCACAAACTGTAACTTAAGATCTAGGCCCAAATCTACCCACTTTTACACTGCCAGGCTCCTTTTTACTTTTGGTTTTAGCACTGAGTTGTTACTACAAACTGGAACATGCCTCTGCTGTTACTTTCTTCCTCTTGTGTAATCTGGAACTTTTCTTCTTCTTCTTCTTTTTTAAAAATCTTGAACTTTTTCAGTCCCTTTGACCCGGCACCTGGTGTCACTTGTAAAAACCATCTTACAGGAGAAGGTTAAGGTGAGATGTGTCAATGTTGCCAATACAGGACTGAGCCTATGTTCACCAAAACACTCAACTTTTATTAATACAAATTGAGTAAAATGTATCTTCACAATCAATGATTAAAGAATGGGAGTTTTTTTTTTTCTTTTCAAAAAGAATGAAATCTTGTCCCCCCAAAAGAATGAAGAGTTTCTATGAGTAAGTGGTGCCACCAGGGTCATGCACAGAAACACTGGCAGCCCGCCATCCCCTCCCGGGCCGGGCATTAGCCCGGCTCCCTGCACAGCAGGCCCGAGGACGCCGACACGCACCCAGCAGCCCCCTGATACTCTCCCGCCTCTCCCTGTACCTGGCCATTGATGATCGTGGCCTCAGAACCAAAGTCCAGAACTAAAACACTTAAATACATTCAGTATATTTCCACGTTTAGTCTAAGAGCTCCAAATATCAGCGGTACTATCTGTACCAAGAAAGATAATATGACAAGCTGGAACTTTTTAAAAAAATTTATCTTTATTGTAGATGTCCCCCCCTTTTTTCCCCATTGACCCCCTCAACCCCGCTCCCCCCCTTAAGCCTTCACTATTGTCTGTGTCCATGGACTATATACATGTATATAAATTCCCCAGTTAATCTCCCCCCCTGCCCCCCTGCCCCTCTGAGATTCGTCCGTCTGAAGCTGGAACTTCTTTAAACTGTCATTTATTATTTATTATACCATAAAATCAAGTAATTTGGTAAAGCTGCTTCATGTAAATTAGATTAGAGAATACAATGCTGTAAACATTTTTTAATTTTAATCTTTAAAACTGGTATAGTCTGAGTTTGTCACTTTAGTTACCAGATAGCGTGAACCTTAAGTTATATAAGATATACATGCTTTAAATTAAAAAAATCTTTCTCCAAATTAGACTTAATTACCTCCCTACTCAAAGAAACAAATCCACTGTCTTATAAACACTAAACATCAAAAATGAAAGCAAAAGCATTTGATCCTTGCAATCATAAATAGACATGATTATTTCTGGATTAGGGGAGATTAGGTAACACAATGAGTGAGGAGAAAGCATGATATGTCAAAGTTCAACAAA